TACCTCTGGCAGGGTATATTGGGTCCTCTCGATGGGGCATATACATCGGACTCCACATTTATCTCATGTGGTTTTACTATCGGTTATTAGTAGCTCCCACTGTTTATTGAGATTCTATTTCATTGACCATTTATCAGTATATCCAATATTCAGTTAGCTCAGCATTCAGTATCTATATCATGTTCATATTATATCATTGCTTTATTTCTTTGTTTAGTTTTATGTTATTTCAGCTTTATTCTATCCTGCATGCTCAGTACCTTTCAAGTACTGACACATACTTTGCGCTACATCTTCTCATGATGTAGGTTCAGGTTCTCAGCATTCAGATCACGCTTAGATCAGTTCCCGATCTTCAGTTCATCAACATCAGTGATGAGTCCTCATTCTTCAAGGACTAGTGACATGTTTATCTTTATCGCTTTTAGTCTTTAGTTTCAATTTTGGTAGATCTAGTTGGGGCATTTCCCAACATTTCTAGTCAGTTTAGAGACTTATTTCAGACATAGTTATATTCAGTTTACAATTGAGTTAATATCTTCTCTGTATTAAACTCATCAATTTTCATATCTCTCAGTTATAGTATATGGGTATTCCCCATTTTTTTCGTTTTATGTATGATTATAGCTTCCGTATCAATTTATTATTCAACTTATCTTTAGTATGCTTATGATCATGCCAACAGGGTTAGCTTGGGGTCAATTCTGGTCCTAGGTCCCGTGTCCGCATCTTGGGGGTAGTCTCAGGGCGTGACAAATTGCGTACCGAAACATCTATGCGTAAGACCATTCTATCATGTGGGGAGGGGATAATTTCATTAACCTCGGGTACTTTAGGATAATAATTTCTTTAAGAAAACACTTTGCATTAAGTTGGATCAAATTTTCTTCCTTACGAAAAATATTTTCCATACTATTTTTGATCTTCTTTAGATTCTATTTGTGTACGAGTTTTAAAGTTTCGGGTTTTAATAATTTTATATACATTGTTGCTTTTTACAAAGTTACCCAAAGTTGTTATTCTAAATATTTTAGTAATACAAATTAAAAGAAGTACTAAGATATATATGTATTGAACACTCGATGTTTACTCAAACATCATGCCAAGAAAACATGTAAAAGTCTCACGATAATGACAAGGCAAAGGATCCAACTAAAAATGGTATGTGGGTGTTAATTCGTATTATTCCAAAAAAAATTGAAATTGAATTTTAGACATTTAGTAAAAAAAGAAAAAATCCATGTTATTATTTCCAACCACCCCTCCCCCCATTTGTCTTCTTTTTTCACATTACATGTTTTTCCATTTTCGCAAACATCTATGGTACAATGTAAGAGACCTGTCTTATTTGGGAGTTAGAATTTGTAAATCCATCTTGTTAATTCCTAGTCATATTAACTAAAGAAAAATATACCCCAATAACTATGCACACACCCCTACTACTTGTAGATGTTTTTAGATCTTATTTTTGTTGACTCCCTATGTTTTGCATAATTTTGATGAATTTTTAGTTGTTATCTAAAACCTCCAATTATTGAGAACTCAATTTTCTATTTTGTTCGAATAGTCAAATCACTTGAAGAAGAGTCACATCTACCAATCCTTGTGGTTTGACCCCGACCTCAAAAGTTGCGTTATTATGTTAAATTTGATTGTCTACGCTCTGAAATTTGAAACAAAATTGAGCGTTTATACGGCGTCATTGCCACAGATAGGTTAACGATAATCTTTTACTGATTTTTAAATTTGAACTTGTGTGTTTTTTGTGTTCTTGTTACTTTTTATTTGTGTTGTTGCTTGCCAAAAACATGACAAGATGAATCAATAGGATGACAAATTAATTGTTGGTGATATGGGGTTAGAAAATGAATTCACTGAAAATGAAGCACCCATGGAGATAGGTGTAGTCAAATCAATTTGCCTACCGCCAGAGGTAGGACATGTTGTATTTCAAGTGACAAGTCCAATGCTTCAGATTAAAAAATTAAAGTGCTATTAGGAGGCAAAGTGGTTTTAAAATGGGGAGTATAAGTCAAGAATTGGTTTGATTGAGATTGATTCCTTTCTCATTAACTAGAGACACTACCAGATGGCTTGGAGACCCAGAGGGTCAATCCACCACTTGGGTGGAACTGAAGGCTACTTTTCTTAAGAGATATATTTCCATTTCTCTTGAAGTTGAGTTGAGAGATGAAATGAAAAACTTTCAGCAAAATCTGAAAGAACCACTTTATGAAGTTTGGCTTAGATTTAAAGAATGGGTTGTTAGGTGACCAAGGCATGATTTATTTAAGGTCGTTTTGTTACAATATTTCTTCCAATCTTTGAGTAGTCGAAACAAAGAGATTCTCAAGGGATTTCCAGGTGGATCAATTATGGATCAGTCATTTGATAGAGCTAAGTATTTACTCCAAAGGGTTGTTCGAACAAACTGTAATTGTCACAAAAGGAAAATAGTCACTTGCCGGAGCCTACACTTGCAGACATAGAGGAAAATATAAAGTTAGTACACACAAATGTACTAAGTATGATGACCATGAGAAAACATGATAAAACAGACTATTTTGGTTTGGAAACCATGCATGATACCAATTTCAACATATTTCATGAACATAAGAATAAGAGGCATCAAATACAAGTATTACCAACATTCAAGTCATTATCATCACATTTCCACCAAAGGTGAACTTACCATTCTCCTCATGCTCCTTTAATGTCAAGACACAATACAAGAACTTATACATTAAGCAAGGCATCTCAATCATCTTAGGGTCCCTATATATAATAACCCTAAGACACACTTAAGTAAGATATGCAGTGGCATCCCATACTGCATCTTCACACCACACCTAAGTGTTCCTCTAGGCCACTATAGATAAGACTCCTTACATTTCAACATATCATGCTAAACAACTCTTATCACTAACTCAAGTGAAACATGTTTCATAACGTTTAGTCAACTACAACATACATCATACATACACCATTTCATTTAGATATGTGAGACATACATCATATCATAGAAGAAATACACCATTTCATATAGTCATGTGAGACATACATCATATCATAGAAGACATAAAGGCAACTTTCTTCATTTGTTCATTTAGAACACATTCATTCATTAGGAAGTAAAGATTTTCACTATAGCCCTCTTGAAGCCTACTCGTGCAAATGCATGGAAAGCATCCTATACTACTACCCACGCGTCATAGAACTTCTCAAGAAACCATAATGGGTACCTCACATGATGGGAATAAGCATTTAACCGACATAGACTATTTGTGCTAAATCATAGAATACTGTGTCATGTAACCCCACACCGTAAGAAGGTGATCAACTTTCCTAAGGTCGATCGGTGATTAACCTAATGGATCCACTAGCTATCCTATGTGGTCACATAGTTAAGGGACAAAGAACTTGCTACATGACACCCCACCTCAACTAACGCATGTGCATCCATAACAATGGATTTCTACTAGATACCCCGCCTCAACTATCATGAGAGCATCCATCCCACTCAATGACCTCTCGGTGCTTAGCCTTCATTCCCATAGAGTAGTTCATGTCATTAGTTCATTAAGGAATATAGATTGTTACTAGATAACCCCACCTCAACTAATGTATGGGCATCCATCTCATACTAACATGCGTAAGTCTTTTGGGGATGGAGATTGTTGCTAGATAACCTAGCCTCAACTAACGTATGGGCATCCATCTCTAATGATTGCTACTAGATACCCCGCATCAACTATCATGAGGGCATCCATCTTCTCCCAACATGAGAATAACTTATAGATTCAAACATGAGAATAACCTTTCATATAAGAATCCATTAACATATTTTAGTGAAGAGTTGAGAATAACCTTTCAAATCAACACATAATAACATTCATGATCTTATAACTTCATACATGATTTCATTAAAAAGGAAGAAACTTTCTACATGCAAATATCTTTGTTCATAAGTGTATAATTGAGAATGTCCTTTCAATACTAGCACACTTGCATTCTAGGTATGATTACATTACTTGCATTTAGATCAGACACCACAAACCTCATACCATGTTCATGCATTCATTCTTCATATCATTGTCATGCATACATTCTTTGTTTCTCCACATACCAACAATTATTCATAATTAGGCATGCATAATCATATTACTTCAATAAACTAATTCAATTCAAGCATCTCTTAATCACTTGGTTGAACAATCCACAAACCCACTTATTAGGGCACCATTGAAGACTTTAGGAAAACATGGGTTGTCTGAGAGTTTTCTTCATAAAACCATAATCAACATCAATACAATCACATTACTTCATAATAAAGCCACTTAAAACAATTGAAGGTTGAACCCATGTTGAAGAGTGAAAGATCTAGGTTTTGATGTGTTGCAAGTTTTGAAAAACACTTTTATAGGACTATAGGGTGAGAGCTAACCCTAGATAAAGAGCCTCCATACATTTGTCTTATAAAATCCACAACAAATTTGAGGAGGAGCGACCTTGAAATCGCCAAACCCTAGCCTCAATAGCTCCCTTCTTTTTCTTCTCTAATGGAGGGTTTCTAGTGAGTGAAATATTTGAGAGGAGTGTAGCGACTCGGAAAAAAAATGATAGGTTAAGCAAGAGCCT